TTTTTTTTTTGCTTTTTTTTTTGCTTTTTTTTTTGCTTTTTTTTTTGCTTTTTTTTTTGCTTTTTTTTTCAGTGTTCGGAGCTCAGAAACCGTCTTTCCAAGTGGAGGTGAGTGACCCACCGGTGGGATCGAGGAGTTTTCCTATTGGATGCCTTCCAGTCTATATCTATATTGCTGCGTGGGGAGCTGCACCTGCTGGAAACCAGGTCCAGCGTCCCTTGCATTATTATACCCGTTTTATACGATAGAGCTCAACCAGGTTGTAGTAGTGCCTACCATTGTAGTGTGCCTACCCATCACACGTTGACTATGATGGAGCATGACCAGGTGCAATGGACCATGACCGCGTCCACCGTAGTGCCTACCATCTTTTTTTTCTTTTTCTTTTTTTTTCTTTTTTTTTCTTTTTTTTTTGGTGGATATAAAGAGTACCAGTCAGCAACTACCGTCTTCCCTATACCATAACGCACCCTAAAAATGAATGTATACAGGCTATATCTCCGGCCAGATACAGCCAAAATAAGGGTGCGTTGTGTTCGGGGGAAGACGGTAGCAGGAGGGCTGTCTTGGATAGGCCACTGCAAATTGTGCAGCGCAGGTTCCCTCCCTGGACGCAATTGCCTGCCAAGCTGAAATTGTCGACCTTCGTTTTTTTTTTTTCCCCTTAGTTTTTTTTTTTTTTTAACAAGGCTCCGATCTATTCGTTGGGGGGGGGGGGTTCCTTAGCCATTCTTCTGCTCATCGAAATATCATGCCGGCCTCAGTAGATTCTGCGTTTTCTGTTGGTTTGGGCTATTCGCTTATAATAGCCTTATATATATATATATAGATTTAGAGGCCTTTATCGATAGGTATACCGACTGCTATTCGTTCTACTCGACTGTAGATAGAATTGTCTTTTGCCGACTTCGGCCTTTGCTTTGCTGAGGAGATGCCGTTTTAGCCTTTTAGGCATTAGAGAGGATATGTGGCCTTTTTTCTTTCTTGCCAGTTTAGATGTTGGGTTGGTGTCAGTTTGAGTATGGGGTATCATGGGTATGGAGATTGAGTGTGCAGTAGGGACGGGGCTCCCGGCTCTGGGTGGAGTAGGACAACCCCCGGCTGTCCTGTCCCCGTTAATATAATTTGTAATTTGTAATTTGCCCTTGGGTTGCGCACTGGGCCCTTTCAAGTTATCAACAGAAAAAAGGGGAAAAAAAAATAATGCCGGCCTTTTACGTAAAGGGTTTTCGTCAGTTTTTATTACTTTTTATTTTTAAGGCATTCTTCGACTAGCATTATTTAGTAGCATATTCTAAAAATGAGAAGATTTTTTTTTTCACATAGCATACTTGAGGCGGGCGAGTCTCTTTCCTCTTAGGCTCTTAGCACCTGCTAATCACGATCGCCTCTAGATAAGAATCAAGACAGTCAAAAAAAAAAAAAAAACCATTCTTTTTTTCTTTTTTCTTTTTCTTTTTTCTTTTTTCTTTTTCTTTTTTCTTTTTTCTTCTTCTTTTTTAAAGAATGGAAGAGGAAGAAGAAGAAGCAGGAGGAATCAAGAGAGTTAGGCGTCTACCAGTTGGCAGTTGGTACACCCCTGAACTGTTTCTTTTTCTTTTTTTTTAATCAGATATTAAACTGATCAGAACAGATCCTATACTTGATCGTACTTAGCCAAAAGGCCGAGAAATGATGTGTGCACACACGCCCTTCATTCATCGGGCGAAAAGCGAGCACCCAATTGTACAGGAACCGTGTACGACAAGATAACCGAGAGGAGGAGGAGGAGGAGGAAAGGGAGGAGGAGGAAAGGGAGG